AAAAAACTATGTTAAAATATTAAATCTATGACAGCATTATTTTTATAGTTTTTAGAGTTTTAAATGTTAACTCATGTTCTCATGTTTTTAGTCATTTGAAATGTTTCTAAGCAATGAAAAATTTTATTATTTCATGTTTTTAGCCTGTTGTATATCTTATTATTCCTTTTTATTTTTATTCCTGCCTTTTATTCCTACCCTTTTTCCTTGTAGACGCAAAGTAGTCTGGGTACATAAAGAACACGGATATGTAATAATCTTCTTTTGACTTCTTCAAAATTAAAAATGCATTACCACGGGGCTGGGAAGTTGGCTCAGTGGTAGAATGCTTGCCTTGCATGCATGAAGCCCTGGGTTCAAGTCCTCTGTACCACATAAGCAGAAAAAAGCCAGAAGTGGCGCTGTAGCTCAAGTGGTAGGGCGCTAGCCTTGAGCTGAAGAGCTGAGGGACAGCACCTAGGCCCAGAGTTAAGGCCCTACGACCACCACCACCACTACCACCAACAAAGCATTACCACAACTGAATCCTTATAAAAGACAAACTATTTTAATTACCTAATACATAATAAGTCCTATGTGAGAAGAGTTCTGACTTTAGTAACAGAGTACTTTTAGAATAAATGGACAGATATGCAAATCCTTCTAAGTATCTTATTGTTATAAGGAGAGACCAAAGTTTGAGTTTTTGATATTCTGCTATGATGCCAGTTATCTACACTATTTCTGATAAATCTTAAGAGAATTTTTCAGCCTTATTGCTCAGACAATATAGTTCTTAGCAGAGTTCTATATTTACTTCCCACTTACTTGCTTACATAACATCAATTTTCCCTTTCTAATTTTAATTTTTTTTGGGGGGGGGGCTGTCCACTCGTGGGCTTGAACTCTGGACCTAGGCGCTGTCCCTCAGCTCTTCAGCTCTACCACTTGAGCCACAATGCCACTTCCAGCTTTTTTTCTTTTTGCTTATGTGGTGTTGAGGAATCAAACCCAGGGTCTTATGCATGCAAGGCAAGCACTCTACCACTGAGCCACCTTCCCTGCCCAGTTTTCCTTTTCTTTTTAAAAAATAGAACCTAAATTATATCCAAAGTGGTATTCAACCAAAACACATTTTAGCACATTTTCCCATAGATGACTATAGAGGGCAAAGTCCATATAAAATGGACATAGTCCATTTATGAAAAGTCCATTTTTTTATGAAAGCTGATTCAATAAGAAATAAAGGACTGGAAGTATAGCATACAGGTAAAGAGCTTACTGGCATATGTATCATTAGACTCTGTTCCTAGCACTATACACAAAAGGTGTGTGTATGTGTATTATCCTTAAACAAATTGAATGATTTTATGATCAAATTCTACTAAACAGTTAAAAAGTAATTCCAACCCTACACAATCAAAAGAAAAGTAACTGAGTATTGTATACTTTTATATAAACAAAAGGAACATTTTCAAATAGGCCTATCTCCTTATGAACATAGAAACTGTAGAGAAATCCCAACAATAAAACATACTGAGAAAATCAGCTTTGCACTGTTTTTAATGTTAACAAATAAATTAGTTTGCCATTTATAGAGGAGAAATCATTTGGTTATCTAAACAGTATAGAAAACAAGCTTTGATTGCAAAAACAACAACTCTGGAATAGAAAGTAACTTTCTTAATGCAATTTAAAAATGCCATCAAGTCTGCAATGACATAGGAGGTCCACTCTTGTTACGGGTAGTCTGCCTTTTACTACAACCTTGTTGCAAAAGTAAGAAAAGTTAGGAAATTGGAGAAGATTCAAAATGGTCACCTGTTCTTTAAAGAATCCCTAAAGAATACAGATGAATTCATAGTAACTTTATATATAGTATATGTAATATATATTATTTTTCAGTAAAAGGAAAATTAATTAAAAAATAATTAGAATTGGATAAAATATTAAATGCTTTGTAATGTACAAGTCCAATGACAGGAAATCTATAAAACTTTAGAGATATTAAAGAAAACTTAGGGTGAGATATACACATTCATCTTCAGAAAAATGAACTATTGCAAAAACGTCAATTACTTCCACATTCCACATTCACTTATAACTTTAGTCTCTAGCAAAATCTCATCAGTTTATTTATCCATGTGCTTAGATATGTGTGTGAATGCTTAGATCTTGACATTCCTTTTTGAATTGCACATGCCAATGTAAAAGGTCAAGAAAAAAATGTGACATTCTCAAAGAACACAGTGAAAGGATTTGTCCTATCAGATGCAATTATTATTTTAAAAACACAAAACTAGAGTTTGGCATTGGTGCAGGGTTGCATAGGCAAGTAAACAAAAAACAGTCACAAGAGCTCAGAGACAGACTTTATATATATGGACATGAGATATTTGAAGAGAGGTCAGGAAAAGATAACTTTTAAGTTAGTAGTGCCAGGATAGTTATATAATTATCCATATAAGTGAAAATGCAGTTTGGATAAACTGCAGAATTAAACATAAAAGAAAATCTGAGAAGTATTCTAGAGGATAATATGGAATGTTTTTCTCAGAACAGGAGAATATTGTTATAAATCTACAAAATTAACAACATTAAAATGAAAAATGTCAGTTTAGAAAACAGAAAGCAAGCTGGGCACCAGAGGCTCTTGCTTGTAATCTTGGTTACTAAGTGGGGCTAAGATATGAGGATTGAGGTTCTAAGCCAGCATAGGCAGGAAAGCCTATCAGACTGTTATCTCTAATTAACAAACAAAGAAGTTGGAAGTGGAGATATGGGTCTAGTGGTAGAAAGCTAGGGTTTTTGTTTTGTTTTTTGAGCTTCTGCTCCAGGCCAGTGCTCTGCCAGTTGAGTATAGCACCCTTTCGGCTTGAGTAGTTTATTGGAGATTAAGAGTCATGCAACTTTTCTGCCTGGGCAGGCTGTGAACCACAAGCCTCAGATTTCAGCCTCCTGAGTAGTTAGGATTACAGGTATGAGCCATTGGCACAGGGCTAGAATGCTAGCTTTAAGCATCAAAACTCAGGGACAGTGCACAGCCCCTGAGTTCAAGCCCCAGGACTGACAAAGCAAACACAAAAAACACAGAAAACAAGCCTATGGAGAAGGTATTTGTCACACACATGACAACCTTAGAGCACCTAGTTAGAATAACTAGTAAAAGAAGAAAATACCAACCAATTTAAAATGAGCAAAAAACTAGACCATGCCATTTAACAAACAAGAAATTCTATCCACTTATAAATTTAAAGTGTGGTCACTTCATACTTATTTGGAAGTGAAAAGTAAAACAATTTAGTATTGTTTATAGCTATCAAAAAGGAAAAAAATTAAAGAAAAATAATACATTTTGGTGTGTCTATGAAGCAATATGACTGCTTGTACACAGTACTGTGGAGTAACTATTTTTTTTAACAATTTGATAAATATCACTGAAGACAGATATGCCCATAGTTTGGGGCTGTTTTAAAAGGTATCTAAAGGATTTTGTAGAACAATGAGTGGTTTTGTATAACATCATGATCTATACATAGTACTCAAGCACTGTATAGGACAGCTACAAATTAGAAACGGTCCATGATAGTCATATAATCAAATTCTGTACCACAGTGGACATAGAAACATGAAGCAAAAACAAGTTTGGACTTATACCAAATTCAGAAACAAGCAAAATTAATATTATTTAGGGAAACACAACATGAGGTGAAAGCGTAAAAAACTGAGTAGATTATAAATTAGGGTTGCGGCTACTCTGATCAAATGAGCCTTTAGCCAAAGACACTTTGGAATGAAGTTTTCTGTTTCTTCACCAGGCTAAGAACTACATGTGATAATATTTTTAACTTTTATCTTTCTATTTTAGACAATGTTATATTCTTATGGTATTCTTAAACCATTTATTTATAAGTCAGTCAGTCATGGGTCTTGAACTCTGGGCCTGGGCGCTGTCCTTCAGCTCTTCAGCTCAAGGCTAGTGCTTTACCACTTGAGCCACAGCACCACTTCCTCTTAAATCATTTTAGAAGCTTAAAATTCTGTGGATGAGTTATACAGAAAACTGGAACATGCTTTTTAAAAGTGTGACTTTTAAAAAATAGTGCATGATTCAAAAGGAAATATTTGAGTGAACAGGTATGAGTTTTTTTTAAAAAAAAAAACCCTATTTCAGATTTATGATTCCCTAGTTAATAATCAGTGCTGCTGACCTTATTTTCATACGCTTGCTGGCCATTTATGCATATTGTTTGGGAAATGCTGACTCATCTCTTTTGCCCATTTTAAAATTGAGTTTACTTTTGTAAAGATATAAATCCTATTTTACTTTTACTTGATATGTGATTTACTATGCTTTGTCCAATTCTACAGGTGTTCTTTTGCTTTCTTCAAAATGAATTTTGGTTTTCTTGAAACACTATTGCACTATGTACCCAAAGTAGGCTTTGAATTCTCAATTCTCCTGTCTTAGCCTCTTGAGTCCTGGGATTACAGTTGTGCACCACTATGCCTGCTCATTGATAATGACTTTTGATGCATAGAAGTTTTGAATTCTGATGAAGTCCAGCCTATTGCTTCTTTTGTCTTTCATGTTATTGGTTTCTTATTTAAAACTCAACTATCACTGCCAATATAATGTGGTTTTTTTGGTGTGTTTTCTGAGATATTTGCAGTTTCTGCTTTTCAAGTCATTCATCCATTCTGAGTTATTTCTGAAGGTGGTATGAAGTAGGAGCTCATTTTCATTCCTTGCTTTTTTCACTGTGCATATCTTATTGTCCTAGTACCATTTGTTGATGAAACTATTCTTTTCCCAATGAATAGTCTTAGCACCCATAAACAGTTCTTCACTAGCTTCTCTCATTTGGTCTATAGCATTTTAAAGGTCTCCATCAAAGGCCAATACTTAAGCCAGGATTTTCTACTGGTATTATTCAGATTCCATATATCTGTTAACAGTGTGTCACGTAGTTTTTAAGCAATAGTTAAGCTTTTAAATGATCTTTTTTTTCCCCTTGCAGACTTTACCTTCAAAAGAAACATTTTTAAATGCTGCACAAATGCCTTGTCTTCAGTCATCCTCAACTTGGAGTAACTGTGAACACAACTTAAAGTCTCAGACCCTCAGAGAACACGTCTCAGAGTTAGATTCTTCTTTCCATTCTGTTCTCTCACTGCCATCAGGTAAGCCTCGTCAAAAATATTGAAGCATCTTCCAGTATGTTCTATAGCAAAACCTAATCGTTAAGAGTGCTTTATCCTTCATCACTACACAGTTATTAGAATCTAGTCACATGTTCTATGTGTAAGTTAATTTTTCCAATTTCTTAAAATTGGTTTACTTTGAAATGTTACTAGCTTTTAATCTCTTACATGTGAACCCCTTTTTTGGTAACAGGGCTGTGCTGAAATGCTTCTCAGTTTGTTTTTAAATTTTCCATTAAGTATATCAATTGTATATAACACTGGGTTACTTTATGTCATTTTCATGCCTGAATAGAATGTGCTTTGATCGCACCCTCACCTGATTACCCTACTGTCCCTCTTTACTGTTCTTGGTGGTCCTACCTTTTTTCCTTCCAAACACATCCTGTAAAGAGTGATACTTACTTAAAATATTTTTGTTTCATTTTTCCAGATATGCCTCTTCATTTTCATTTTGAAACATTTTTGAAGAAGAATGAAATCAAAGGAAATCTTGCTGAAAATAAGTTTGTAGGAGGATGCATCATCTCACCATCACCTGGTAGGTCACATTTTCACATTTTGTACTTTATAGACCTTTTTATATTCTACACACTTATTACTTTTGCATTCTAAGTAAATAAAATTTAACAAAAGATTTAATATACATCTTTAATTTTTATTTTATTTTATTTTTTTGTTGGTCGTAGGGCCTGAACTCTGGGCCTGGGTGCTGTCCCTCAGCTCTTCAGCTCAAGGCTAGGACTCTACCACTTGAACCACAGCGACACTCTCGGCTTTTTTCTTTTTGCTTATGGGGTGCTGAGGAATCGAACCCAGGGTCTCATGCATACCAGACAAACACTCTACCACTGAGCCACTTTCCCAGCCCCCATCTTTAATTTTTAATATTTACCTTCTTCAATTACACACACACAGAAAATACATGAGTTGTCTAGCATGCATGAAGTCCTTGCATTCAATCTCTAGCATCAGAAAAGAAAGAAAAAAAAGAAAACAGGATAAAACATGCCTGTTTTATCCTTGTGAGTGAAAACTAAAAAATAATTTTGAAATAATAATAGGATTTAAAAAAAATAAACTTGGGAAATAGCATTCATCTCTGAAAAATTAATAAGGATATCAACTTTCTATTAGTCTTATTTTTAATGCAGTGTAATTTAAACTTTAAGTAGATTTGGTTAAAATAATTCCATAGTCTATTGGAAAGATTAAAAAAGGTCAAATATAAAAGGAATTGTTAGAAAATATTAGCTCAATCATATACATATAGCACACATTCCAAAAGCCCATATTAGCACAGATTTCTACTTTGCTCTTATTTTGAAAAATATATTCATGCAATACCCTATGGTACTTTAGGCATATTTGTTTACAACATATTTATATATTTTAAAATATGGTACACAAGTATTTCCTACATTTATATCAATGAGAAAGTGAAGAACCCTTTAATAAACAATAGTTTTTCTGAGTAAATATTTTCATATTTTCATTCCATTATGATGAATCAGGATGAATTTTAGTTGGTTCTGAGAATTTTTAATTAAAAGATTAAAACTATGTAATAAGACTTAAAAGAAATTATAATGAAATGCTCATGAGTGCTCTGAAAGAGTATGAAAGCACTGACTATACTTGGAAGGAATTACAAAGAAGAAAAGCTTCAACAACAATCTGTCTGCAAAGTGAAAAATATTAATACCAAACTAAGATAATTTCCTGATGAAATTACCATCTATCTCAAGAGTCAAATAAATGCATGTTAGACTTAAGTTTTATAGTTTTTAAGGCTGTTAATTAATATTGCTCCATGGTAGAAAGGGGTAGGGTTCAATGGCCAGCACTGAAGAAAAAAAAAATTCTAATAACAATAATTCAATAAGAATGTGAAAAAAAATCATCCTAGTCATATGATAATGTATCTGATTGAAGTTAACAGGAACTTACATGAAGGAAACTTCAACAGTTTACTAAGGACCATGAGAGGATTTTTTTCTATATGGAAAGAAAAAATATCCTGTTCATGCCAGAAGGCAGTTTTAAATTATCAAATTGATGTATAAATAGTATGTAATTCTAATCAGAGTCACAGAGATACTTGTTTTTAAGAATTACACTTGTTTCATAATTCTTTGTGTTCTGTTTTGTTTTCTGAGGTAAAGTCTCAGTGTGTAGTGCATCCTGGCCTTGAACTCATGGTCCTCTTGCCTCGGCTTCCTAGTGCTTCTAACTGTGTGTGCACCCATGCCTGGCTGATATGTTTTATTTCAATAAAGTGAATCTGAGGAGAAAATTTGGAGGATAACCAGTAAAAATGTTTAAAGAAAAATTTTTTTATAAAGTTATTATCAATAAACTATTGGAGAAATGATGGAAGCCAGATCATGAAAACTAAATAAGAAGCTAGAGACAGATTCAAAGTTTCATTGTATGATAAAAGGAAGTATTATTCTATTAGTATGGAAATAACTGATCTTTAAATATCAATGACAACCAAGTCTTGCTGTGTTCCTTATATGGCACCAGTGATTGAAGGACTAGCTCTTATTATACTTAAGTAAACGTCCCCAAATTGAGTTGAACAATAGTAGAGCAAATTAGCCTAAAATGAATGCTCTAAAGAATAAAACAACAACTTTCATTTTCAATTTGTACAGATGAAAATTAAATAATGATTCATGAAACGGTATCTGCTCTTACATGGTACATTAAAACACATTTAATATAAATGAATACTAAAGTATATTACTGAGGTAAAAATGGCATTCTTAGTTATTTTAGATAAGACTAAGAACATGCATAGAAACCTTCTGGGAAGCAGTCAGATTTGTTCACAAGGTGTTAATGAATTTCTTATAAGCTCACTCTGGTGAAAAAGAAAAGTTTACTTTTGTACCTGCTCAAAATAAATGTTTACTTAACTGTTACTCCATATCCTGATCTGGTTATTCCAAGATGTATGAAACAATATTCACATATATTCATCATAAACTCTTTTTGTGATCAGAAATGTGCAACCACTTGAACATAAGATATGATTACCAATTCTGGAGAATAACCTTAAAATACCTTAGGAGTTCCGTAACAATAGAAACATGCTTATCAAACAATATTGGGATGTGGAAGCTTGAAAACACTTAATTTTGTATAAATTTGTAAAATTTAAATGATGTAAAAATGTTTATTATGTGCATCAAATGTAATGTGTAGACCTTGTTGGATTATCCAAACAAATCCAACTTTTTTTGCCTAGAGAATAAGAACTTATTAGAGGTTAGATTTAGGGACAGGCTCAAGGACATTCAAGGTTCACAAAGGTTAAATGTTAACAATCACTAGTGAGTGATGGAGTCAGAAATAAGGCAGTTTTCGCTCTCTGACTCCTTTACTATTACTACCATGTACAACTTTTAAGCATTCAGGAAATGTGACCATAGATACTAGATATTAATGATTACTTTTGTCATATGTAATAACATTTAGACACCTACACATAACTTTATAAGTCAGTCAAGTTTGTTAAAGGATTCATGCTGACATATGATAAAAAGAATTGGATTTGTTTTTAAAATATTTCAACAAAAAAGGTGGGAAAGATAGAACAAGATTGGTCATGATTGATCACACTAAAGCTAAACAATAAGGAGTTCATTAGTCTGTTCATGTTTGAGTTTTGTCCATAGCAAAGTTAAAGAACAATGAAAATACCAAGGAAAATCAGCAATTACTTATGCTTAGGGAAGAAAGCAAAACAAAAACCAAAAAACCAAAACTAGAACTTCATACATAGCATGTTCATGATGTAATTCACTGGGATGTATTCTGAGACATATTCATGAATACAATTATTTTAAGAATTTTCCACAATAGGAAGAATTTCATTGTGATAATGAAAAACAGGTATTTAAATAGTAGGTCTTAACAATAGTTGGTAACAACAATGATCTCCAACAGGTACATAATACCTAAATGCCATTGTGTCAAAGGGTTGTTAGGCAACAATCTGCAAAAATAATGAAACTTTGTTACACCAGCTGGGCGCTGGTGGCTCACGCCTGTAATCCTAGCTACTCAGGAGGCTGAGATCTGAGGATCGCAGTTCAATGCCAGTCCGGGTAGGAAAGTCTGTGAGACTCTTACCTCCAATAAACCACTAGAAAACTGGAAGTGGTGCTGTGGAAAGCGGTAGAGCGTTCGCCTTGAGCTGAAGAGCACAAGGACAGTGCCCAAGCCCAGAGTTCAAGCCCCACGACCGACAAAAAAAAAAAAGCTCAATTGCACATTTTAAATTATGAATTCATATCTGAAACATGCTCATACATGTATGTATGTATGGTTGAAAGGATTATGCAAAGTGAATGTATATGTGTACGTTATAAGTATAAATTAGGTGATACTTCTATTGCTACTGTTTGACTTGCAAATGTATCAGTAATGCAATGACATTATATGTTACATATAATAGCAAGTTAAGAGGCTACAGATGGCCAACTCATGCCTGTAATACTAGATATTGATAGGCTGAAAAACTGGAGGATCATGACTCAATACCAGATCAGGCAACAAGTTTGCAAGACCCCTTTCCAAACAATAGATGCTGTACATGTTACCTAGCTACAGTGAGAAGGATAAAATAGAACTACATTTCTGGCTCAGACTGGGCAAAAAGCAAGACCCTATCTCAAACAGTGCAGAAAAAGGCTGGAGTTGTGGCTCAGTGCTTCAGTGCCTGCCTACCAAATGTGAGCTCTGAGCTAAAAAACCTAGTATGTCTGAGAGCTGTTGGCTCATACCTATAATCAGAACTACTTAGGAGGTTGAGATCTGAGTACCTTGGTTTAAATCAAGCCAAGGCAGCCAAGTCCATGAGATTCTTATCTCCAATAAACTACCAAAAAAGCTGTGAGTGAAACTGTGGTTCAAGGGTTGAAGTATCAGCCTTGAGCAGCTCTGGGACAGTGCTTAGGCTGTGAGTTCAAGCCCTAGGGGCCGACCGACTGATACATGCGTGTATGCATCCACGTACACACACACACACACACACACACACACACACATGCATCCACGTACACACACACACACACACACACACACACACACACACACACACACACACACACACACACGACAGATGGAATTGTTGACCTGAATGCTATAGTAATAAAGGATATATTCTTTTGTATACTAATCTTCCCTCCTCTCTCAAATAAGTAAGCATTAATTAGGTCACGGCATATGTGTTACTTGGTCATTAATTTTTGTTTTGTTAAGAGTTTCAACTTCTGTTGAGCACTTGCTCTGCCGGACAATCAAGTGATGAAGGATTAAAAAAAAGAAACAAAACAACAAAAAAACCCACAGAAATTAAGGGCAAAGAAGAGAGGTTAAGGGAGATGAAAAATGGGAAAAAGGAGAAACTCCACAAAGACCAGCATGCCAAATGTCACCCTGAAATTCACCAAGAAAGGGCGGAGTGTTCCTAATCAGTGCTTCTAAAACTTCAATGTGCAAACATATGACAATTGAGGGCGTTGTTACAATGTAGACATTGATTCAAGAATTCTAGATAGAATGGAACCCGAAATGCCTCATTCTAACAAAGTCTCAGCTGACTGAAATGCTTTTCACTTGTATTCTGTAAAGAGGTTTTAATGGAAACAAAATGCAGATCTAAAAGTGGAATGTGTACAAGTATCCAAAAATAGCTTGATATTGCTGCAGTGTAAAGTGGGTAAGTTAGGCAAATGTTTTTGTATATAATCAGAGCTTAGATTTATCCTGTACTGTCCTTCAGATTTTACATTTATAACAACATTACTCATGGCAGGTAAAACTTAAATTGAAAAACCAAATAAATACATGGTTATTAGCCTCATAGTGACAAAATACCACACAGAAACAATGTAAGGAACCTGTCAAAATATTGAAGGTTATGAATAAGAGGGTCAAACTGTTTCAGACTTTAAGGAGATCTGACAACTGGATGTGATGTTGATTGGAAATTTCTATACAACCATTATAGGAATAACCTGTGAAATTTGAGTAAAGCCTTTAGAAGTGTGGCTATGTAGAATGTCCTTGTTTTTGAGATATACACACTGACATATTAAGGGTTAAGAAGCCTTATGTCAGGAATGAGTTCACAGTTGAAGCAAATGTGATAAAATGTTAACATTAGAGCAATCTAAGTGTATAAAATGAAAGTTCTTTGTATCACTTCCTGTTTTCCTAGTTTGACTATATCAGTTTTCTTTTACAATGCACAGATGAAAGAGGAACACCACTCACTGCACAGGCAATCGAGCCTTCACCACTCCTTTGAGCACATTGATCTCACTTATCTTCCCCCAGCCTTTGTATTTTACAACTTTAATGGGTTTCATGACATCTACATCATGAACATGTCTTTCCTATTCAGCCCCCATCATCTTTCTCCCTTCACCTGTTCTGCTGATCTCCTCAAAATTGCATTCATTCCCTTTATTAGGTCTAGATTCTAAATGAAAATGTGCCACTTGCTTGAATCTGGCCTATCCCACTTAACATGACTAGCTCCAATTTCATTCATTTTTTTTTTGAAAAGGACATTTCAGTTCAGAGATATATGGTTGGATAATACTCTATTGTCAAATTTATGTCCTAATCATTCCTTCACATTAAGTGCAATAATTTCTTAACTTATACTGCTGAAATAGCTTAGTTCTTATTTCCCTTTGATCACTGTAGCGGGGGGGGGTGTGTTCATTTTCAAAATGTGAATTTAGTTTTCATCCCCCTCACTCCCATTAAGAGGGAATGAAGGGCGCATAAAACCAACAGATGGGCTCCTGCCTACTTTTTTTTTTTTTTTTGCTGCTTCCTGCAGCCTTGAGCGTCTTTCTTACTTTTAATCTATCTTTAGCTGTCATGTACAACTGGGTTACTTTTTTCACATTCAAGTTCCTTGAAATAATAGAATTATAATTTTCTGAAGAAACCATTGCTTATTATTTCAAATATGACTTCCTCTTCATTGTCACTCTACACAGCTTTGTTCTCTTATTTTCCAGCTGTGTCTAGTCTTACTTAGCTCAGTTATGATGGTTTTGAGATGTAATTATATTATATACTTGCCAATTCTGAGATTTTTATTTTTTTTTGCAAGGCCTGGGCACTGTCCCTGAACCTTTGTGCTCAAAGCTAGCACTCTACTAGTTGAGTCACAGTGCCATTTCTGGCCTTTTCTGCTTCTGAGACTTCTTTTGAGAGCACTCTTACTGGTCTTGCTTTAAAAATGTTATTTACATTTTCTGAATTCTCCAGTTAACTACCCCTTTAGGTGATTTTGCCATGTAAGTTTGTTCTCAGGTTGGAGGTTATGACTCACTGTTATTGAGAAGGATAAGAGATTTACATCTATACATACTACTTCCCAATGGAATTGGGAAAGGGGAGGGAATTTTAATGTGGGCACTACTTTGATACCCAAGCTGGCCATTTCTCTGCCCTAGTGCCGATTTTGGTCTAATGCAGTAGCCTGGCTGAGGTAGATATTGGCTTTCATAGTCCTATCATTTGCTTCATATAATTGTTGTGCTCCCATTTTTCTTCTCCTTTATATGGTTCTTGCAATTGATCATATTTTCATGACAGCCCTTTCCAGTATGCTTCTGAATTGGTTTTCTTCAAAGTCCATAGGATATTAGTTTTTCAAAAGTGCCTTATAAATTGTTTAAGTTCCTTTTCTGTTTACAAATGTGCTCATTTGTGCATAAGCCTATCTATAAAAATTCTGTCTACTATTTGTAGGGTGCTTTGCCATCTAATAATGGAATCCTCTTGTGACTATTTTTGGTAGGCTCTACCTTTGATTTCAGTGCAGTGAGTTTGGCAATTTAGCCTAAATATTTATTCCCATACGTGCAAACCTCTTTCTAAAAGGGTATTAAACCATTACTGGATACCTAAGGTTCAAATAGATAGTGCTCTGGATGATAAATCCAGCATTTATTTGCAATTGCCATGGGAGATATATATTGCAAGTACTAACTCATTAATCTTCAGAAACCCAAGATAGCTGTTAGAAGAGGTTAACTGAGGTACAGATATTGACTTAAAACTCATGTTAAACATTTTTTTTTAATTTAAAAAGTGAAATAGTGCTAGTCATTATCAGAGGGGAGGTAAAATCCAGTTCTTGTTTCCAAGGAGTCCAAAGTCTGTTGTGATCATGTTGAATCTTACTTGGTCCTGAATTATTTAGGATTTAAAGGTAAATAACTTCAGATTCAGATCATAGTCAACCAAGATCTGAAACAATCTTCACTAATTTGGAAGATTTTGGGAATAGATTCCCTTCCCATCTCATTCTCTTAAAAAAAAATGGAGCAAACATACTATTCCAGGTAATTTTAGTTTATGAGTTATCCATCTTGGTGCTCAATCATTTATTGCATTTATTACTGAACTAGTATCTTAAAATTCTACACTGTTGTAAGTAGATCAAATTATGTTATCTGTGATAAGGAATAAAATTTCACATTTCCTTACTTTTTTTTTTAGTACACAGTACTTTGAATCAATGGAGAAATGGATATTCTCCTACTTGTAAGCCTCAACTGATGACAGAATCATCTGCACAACTCTTACAGGGAAGAAAGAAAAGGCATCTGAGTGAAACAGCATTAGGTAGGTTACAATGGGGATATGATCTTTAGTGTTAAATACTGAAAATAAAAGTCTCTTCAAATAACCCTGTCTCATGGGAGTTTATAAGACACAAGTCACTAGTTACATAAATATTCATGACCCAGTAAGCATATTCATGTAATTCAGAATTTGTAGACTAGTTACCTATTTATGGCAAGTACTTCTTTTGCATATTTTCTGACTAGCTGTTTTCTATCTGCTGTGGTCTGTAAAAGATTTAGTCTCCAAGGTTCTTCTGGACTCAAACTAGGACAATACAAGGGTGCCTGACACAAATCTATTATCATTTCTAAGTTCCTCAGGAATTTGAGAAAGTAGTCATGATGCACCTAAGGCACTCAGCCACCTCCTCACATCTCCTTAGGAGGCTTTATACTTACAGTTCAAAGCTAATCAAGAAGTAGCAGTGGAAACAAGAACCCTTTTAATACCAGTGTGGTTTATTTTAGAGACGTGGAAAGGGAGTTATCAAGTTATTTACTGTTGGAGCTAATAAATAAATACAAGTAAAATTGGCAAAATATACTCTGAACAGTAACTGAACAGTAATCAGTCTACATACCTTTCTGGTTCATCTTCATTGCTGTACTAAATATGAAACTATAGTCATTAGTTAAGTCTTCCCCTAATAACAGGTCAACAACATACCCAATTAAATTAGAAACTAATACCCTAACTGTACTAAACTATAATTACACAAAATGGATTTCATTTCATTTCACAATCTCATTTTATAGAAATGATCAAGCTTACTACCTTAAACCACTATCAAGTACATTGTGGCACCAAATGCACAAACTCTCACATGCCCAGACATCTCATTATTCTAAGTGTCTGTCTTCACTTTTAAGAACAGATAACTAAAGACTGCCTACCTTTAAAAAATATTAAAATATTCCATACATGAACTTTAAAAATACAGAAAAATGTTGTCAATTTCTTAATATGTGTTATGAGATGTACATTAACCAAGGTACAATATTTCACTTGAATTGATTCATACTTCTATCCAGTTTCCAATTTGACAAATATACAGGGATGGAAAAGCAAATTAATTTATGTATCACAAATAAATGACTACCTAACTCTAAAACTGCAGGATATTTGCCTGGATGTTAAGAGAAATGAACTAATCTAGATTATCAGAAGCCTCAGAAGTCCAAGAGATAATAAACAATTTTAATATGCAGATCCTGATTTGAAGAAAGCCATCATAAAGGATATTTTTAACAATTGAGCAAATATAAATATGGACTAAGTATTAAGTGTTACAGTGCCTAGAAAAAGTTTTTTTTTTAATTCCAACTGAATACAATGGGAGTAAGTGATGATGTGGTAGCTAATACCTGTAACTCCAGCAACTCAGGAGGCAGACACAGGAAGATCACAATTTGGTGCCAGTCTGACATATACAGTTAGACTCTGTCCTCTACTGTCCTTCCAAAAAAGGTGAATAAACATATATTCACATACTGTAAGTAGGGGCTGGGAAGGTGGCTCAGTGGTAGAGCGCTTGCCTTGCATGCATGAGGCCCTGGGTTCGATTCCTCAGCACCACATAAGCAAAAAGAAAAAAGCCAGAAGTGGCGCCGTGGCTCCATTGATAGAGCGCTAGCTAGCCTTAAGCTGAAGAGTTGAGAGACAGCGCCCAGGCCCAGAGTTCAGGCCCCATGACCGGACCCCCCAAAAAAAACAACACACAAAACAAAACAAAAAAAAACTGTAAGCAAAATAAATAACTTGAAAGGAACACTGATGCCAATAAATATTTAGTATCCTGAGTAAAGAAATACCATTCATAAAGTACAAGATGCTATAAAAATGAGTATGAGAGAACAAGAACTTTTAAAATATAGTACTCTATTGTAGAAAAATCTCAAAATGTGGTATTGATCTATATATAAAAATACTGTATAATTTATATAAGGATATATAAAGATATCTATGATCTATCTATAAAGTTAAGAAAATTAAGATCACTCTTGACAGTGCAGTCTCTACAGGCGTCACAGAAAACAAGAATGTGGTAGACAGTAGACAAGATTACTGAAGAGGAAATATCCCTGAAGAACTTTGCTATGACTTCAGAAAATGGAAATACTTATAGCAAGATTATGGGTTAAGATTCTTTGTAAATAACTTACTTTTGTTTGCTGATATATGAATTGTATAAAAAATAAGTAAGGACCAATTACTTCTCATCTAGTTGAGAAGGTAATTCTAATATCCATTGGTCACATTTAAAGTATGATATTTTGAAGGCTTCTTTCCATGGCAGGAGAAAGGAGTACATTTGAAGAATTTCCCTTTCAACATACAGAACCAGGATCCCATTGCAATATCACTGCTGTCTCTAATGTCAATGTTCTATCAAGAATCCAGAGTTCATCATCACAAGTAAGTTTTTTCCCCCCTGTACCACTCATGAAGCTTAAATACACTCTTGTTAATGAAAGTTCAGGACCAGTGTTTCTCTTTATCTGATCTGTTGTTGCTGAAGATGCTATCTAGCCTGGAATAGAAAGGCAAAAGGTAGAACGGTTTAGAAATGAACAGTGTAAAGCTTGAGGGAACAAGTTTAAATGAAGATTGTAATACTATTTTCATAGCCTTTCCCAATAATGGAATATTTATAGACATAGACATTATTTATCTGCCAAGATTATTTTGGTTTACAAAAGACAGCCATACTTTATAGTCAGATTTTAATAAGTGTATTTATGAAGATTATGTAACAGGTACTCTGTATATTATTCTTCATTCACTAATTGAAGGATAACACCAAAAGTATCTAGACACTACTCTAAAGCAGTACAATATTTGTCTTGCAGACCACAGCACGACGGAGGTTAAGAAGTGAGAGTTCTTATGACATTGATAATATTGTGATTCCCATGTCATTAGTAGCCCCAGCTAAGTTAGAGAAACTCCAATATAAGGAAATACTTACTCCAAGGTATGTACATTTTTATCTATTTTTTCTTTCTTTAAAAACTTTAATATTTTACCTATTTGTTTTTAGTAAACTTAAATTCAGAGAGGATACTGCTCTCCTTTCTTTGCTACTTATACAGCCATAGGGGAAATGAAAAAAAAAAGTACCCTGTAGTACCAAAACTACTGCAGTTTTGTGTGTGTGTGTGTGTGGTTTTTTAAATTAAGAACTGACAATTTCTCAGTTAGTAAACTGAACATTCTAAGGCTTTTTTCACATTAAATTTTATTTAGGTACCTATATACATAGTACTTTACTACCTTAGTGACATAAAAGCTACAGCAACAAATAAATCTTTGCCACTAAACAGGCACAGAAAGCTGCAAATAAAGCAACTGCATTTGCAAGAGGTTTCAAAGAGTGAGACAGCAACACCTGTGACAATAAGAAACAATGTCTTAGTTTATCTGATTTGGGGAGGGAAGAAGTACAGGAATGATGGCACAAGGGGTGAACTGATTCAGCAGTAATACTCACTAGACACTGTGTGGGAGGGAAAAATCAGAGAGAATGAGGGGGTGACACTGTTCAAAAGGAAATATACTCATTGACTGACTTATACAACTGTAACCTCTCTGTATATCACCTTTAAAATAAAATTAAAAAGAAAAAAAAAAAAGATGGATTGGGAATGTGGCTTAGTGGAAGAGTGCTTGCCTAGCATGCATGAAGCCCTGGGTTCCACTGTTCAGTAACACAGAAAACAGAAAAAGTTGAATGGTGCTGTGGCTCAAATGCTAAGAGTGCCAGCCTTGAGGGGGAAAAAAAAAAAAGCAGCTCAGGGACAGTGCCCAGGCACTGAGTATAAGCCCCAGGACTGGCAAAAAAGAAAAAAAAAAGGAAAGAAAAGAAAAGAAAAAAAAACTGCTTCTGTTGGTAGCAAAGTTAGCCAAGTGTGTGTGTGTTAAGTCATTAATGAAAGCAGTTTCTTAAAAATATAGCACCCCTAGGAAGTAGAGATGGAAAAAGGCTGAAAATCAAAATCAAGACATGAGCCATGTGACAACTATTAATTATTTTTTTAAAAAATTATCATTATTATTATTATTTTTTTGCCAGTCCTGGGGCTTCAGTCAGGCCCTGGGCACTGTTCCTGAACTTATTTTGCTCAAGGCTAACACTCTACCACTTGAGCCACAGTGCCACTTCAGACTTTTTCTATTTATCTGGTACTGAGGAATTGATCCCAGTGCTTCGTGCATACTAGGCAAGCACTCTACCACTGAGCCATATCCCCACTCAGGACAACTATTAATTCTTATCCATCAATATTATAATTTCATAAATCCTCTCATGCATAATTACTTTGAGGTATTAAGGGAAATATAGTAATCTGGGAGGTATTATGAGAACTGTTGAAATAAAAATAAATAGTATCATTTGTGACTGGGATGTTCTACAGCAACAATGTTTTTCAAGTTTTATTGTAGTGGTAGGCTAAAGCTAGCTAGTAGCACTAGTAGATTGTTCAGTATAGAATTCCATGAGCCCATTGTTATTTAGCCGAGTCATGATAAGCATTTTTATACCAAAAACACTACAAATCGGGTCTTTTTTCCCTCCTTTTTGGCCAAGTCAGTTTATGAACATACTTTCATCTAGTACATACTTATTACACAGAAAATGCAGCTATGCTTAAAAGACTGTTAGCTGTTAAGCCAAAACTAAAGGTTAGTCTTCTCTTTGGTTTTTCTTCATTTATAAAAAAGAATAATGTGCTAAATTCAACCATTAGAATTATACAAGTCACCCTGAATAAGATATTATTTATCTATGCTTAGAGACTAAAATTGCCAAAAATAAGAATTGTTTGAAACTGGTTTGTATCTTCAACAGCTGGAGGATGGTAATTCTTCAGCCTCTGGATAAATGTAACTTAGGTGAAGAAGAGGTAAGCTATTTTTATTGAATAGAAAACTTATACCATATACATATTGTGATATTTAAGAAACCACAAAGAAATATAAACCCTTTAGCTTTTTTTTCATTTATGAAAAGGAAGTTTCAAAATGGGTAATTTTATTTTAAAAATGTTTCTCAGCTGGGCACCAGTGGCACACACTTGTAATCCTAGCTACATAGGGGGCTGAGACTGAGGACTGAGGTTCAAAGCCAGTCTGGGCAGAAAAATCCCCATGAGACTCTTATCTCCAATTAACCACTCAAAAACTGGAAGCAGTGCCGTGGCTCAAAATGGTAGAGTGCTAGTCTTGAGCACAAAGAGGCTCAAGGACAGCTCCCAGGTCCTGAGTTTAAGTCCCACAACCAAAAAAAAAAAAAAAAAGTTTCTGATATGGAAAAGGGTGACATTGATCAAGATGCTCATAAATTAATATATTGAATTGAAACTCCTTTGTACAACCACTTAAATTCCAACAATTTTAAAACTAAAAAATATTTTTAAAAAGTTTCTATAAAAATGTAGCTACAAATACAGTAGTGTATAATCAAGCCTGTCTCTAAAAGAAAACAAAACTCTAGAAAATGGGGTACATGTCACATTAACCCTCAGTCCAGCATTCCTATAATATTAAGCAAACATTAATGTTTCTGCAGTGAAATATGTATAGTAAATGGAATAAACACTAACAATATCCATACCATTTCAGATCAAGTTAAGAATTTTATATTAAAAAAAACAAAACCTTGAGCCACATGTGGTGGCTCATACCATAATCCTAGCTACTCAGGAGGCTGAGAGCTGAGGATTGTGGTTTAAGGCCAGCCAGGACAGTAAAGACCATGAGAGTCTATCTCCAATAAACCACCAGAAAACCAGAAGTGGCACTGTGGCTCAAGTGGTAGAGTGCTCACCTTGAGCTGAAGAGCTCAGGGACAAGCACCCAGGCCCAGAGTTCAAGCCCCACGACCACCACCACCACCACCACCACCATCAACAGTAAAATGTAACAGGAAAAAAATGTGTTAGAAAATCTGTGAGGAAAATCAAAATAGCCATATTATTGTCTCTAGAATTAGATAAACCCAAATACCCAAACACCATAGCCCAGTCATTTGGGTTAGTATTCCACATAAAGAAACTAAATTCTGATTTATCTCGATTTTTACTTTCTGTTGATATTAACATGTTCTTAACAATAATATGTGTGCCACAATGGACAATCAAATAAAAACTGTGGGATGAATAAAGCATTAAGACTATTTTGTGTACAGTGTGGCAAAATAGAAAGCACTATGAACTTGTTTGTGATCTAGCTTTTGAACATAAGCTGACAATAAAAGTCAAAAAAATTGGACTGATACCTTTCAGGAACTTGAGGGTATCTGATAAAGTTTGCATTTATTTTAGTGTTTGCTTACTCTAGTTCTTTAGGTGAGGAACTGTCTGAAACTTATTTCAAGACTTCTCACAGAAGCGAAAGGTTTTTTCTTTGCTTTTACTAATTCCAGACAGAAGATCTTTCTGATGAAGTCTTCTCTCTAAGACACAAAAAATATGAAGAGAGAGAGCAAGCCAGGTGGTCACTGTGGGAACAAAGCAAGTGGCATAGAAGAAATAGCAGGCAAGTACTTTAAATCCCAAAGCTACAGAATCCACATGGAATGAACAGAAATTCTGCGTGAATTTTGGGTAAAACCAATAGAAGGAAAAATACAAGGCTGTGACATCAACTATTATGTACTAATATGTATAGTGCCTTCCCCTCCAGTTACATGTTATACACACACTGAGCTTTTAAAGCCAAAATACATTTGGCTAATTACATAATAATGAAATAATTTCCTGTATTTCATTCTATTCTATTTCTCAAGTATGCTACCAGGCTCAGGAATAGACTTAACTAGCAAACAGTATGAAAATTTTCTCTCTCGATAAAATGTCATCTTAGCCAAGTGTGGTGTACATGTGTATCTATGATCTTAGCACTTGGAAAGCTTAAGCAGGACGAGCCAGCTTAAGCTAGTTAGACCCTATCTCAAACATACACATACCACTAAAAGCAAGCCATTGCAATCTATTTTAACAGTGGACAGAACACTGGAGAATAGAATATAGGTAATCTATTTTCACATAGCTACTTCAAAAATATTTAAATAAAATTCCCCAATTTGTCTAAGTCAAATCATCTAAGGTACTTTTTTGGGGGTGGGTAGGAGGGCATCGGTCATAGGGTTTGAACTCAGGGGGTGGGCCCTGTTCCTGAGCTTTTTTGCTGAAGGCTAGTGCTCTACCACTTTGAGCCATGCCACCACTTCTGGTTTTCAGGTATTAATTGGAGATAAGAGTCTCACAGCTTTTCCTATCTAGGCTGATCCATAGATCTTAGCCTCTAGAGTAGCTAGGTTTACAGGTGTAAGCCACTAATGCCTGGCTTAATCTTTAAAACAAGGTAGAACCAGGTACACTGGTACATGTGTGTAATCCACAACTGGAGAGGCTGAGGAAAGAGAACTGGCAGTTAAAAGTCAGCCTGAGTTACAAAGCTGAAAATTTGTCTCAAAACAAAAACACAAATAGCTCTTGGAGGAGGAAAAAAGAAGATATAACTAATAATTCTATATTTGAAAGCATGTGGTTATATTATACAAATATTTCATTTTTAGTATGGCCAAAATTCAAAAAGCAACATCATCCGAAGTCTGGCAGTCACTCCAGTTAAGAGGCCATCTCATTTAAGTAGTGTTAAACATCTCTGTCTAGTTAGATCTGAACATCAAGATTTGCTGTAGATCCTTGATCTGAGTTCTTCTAACACAAATGAGATTCTGGAATTCTCATCTTTCTCTACATTCCAGAAAGAAAACTTTCCAGAAATAAAGGAAAACGTGAATTGAGGCATTCATGGATAACATTACAATAATCACAGAATACTCTAAAACAGTAGAAATCAACAAATTGCCCTTTCTTGTTCTCCAAGTAAAATAAATCAAGTAACAAAGTAAAAACCTCTGTTAAAACTGACAGGATCTTTAATGAAGTACTACATATAAACATTTGCTATGAAAATAATACCAGGAAGAGGATCTTATGAATTTATATTATCTGGGTAGAGTTGCTTAAAGAAAAGCTATTAACTGCATTTAGTGATAACCTTAGGCTAATAAAATGGTAAGATGGAGATGGTAACAATTACTTTCTTCTAGAGCATTCAGTAAAAATGTTGAAGGGCCAGACCTGCTTTTGAAAGAATACCTTCATGACCTCAGTAGTGGTCAGCAATGTGCTGCTGAAAGCCCTCCACAACCTCTCTCAGAGAACCTCGATCTGTGTGCACAAGACTCACCTTCTTTAAAGCAAAATCAGGAATTTAAGGTAAGTATAATATTTACTGTACACTTCCTTTTCTTTGCTTTTTTTTCTTTTGTTAACCTTTTGTAAATTGCTTTCTGCAATGTTTCATTATGTATCAGCCTCACATTCAGTGAAACACTTTCTAACAATACTGGGTAAGATTCAGATCTGGAATGCAGCATTCCAGTTTCATTACTAACAGTAATCATGTTTTTTTTGAATTGTGGGGTTTTGTTTTATGTTTACTGGCATAACATGTCACTATCAACTTGTACCTACTTACCACTATCAAGGTTTCATTATGAAACAAATCTAATTCATGGACAATAGCACCTGATACATAGTAAATGTTAGGGCTACTTTTCTCCTTTTAAAGGTTTTTACTTGTCTCTCTATAGATCCATTGTCTACTTTAAGAGAGTATCTTCTAAATACTGCATCCATAAAGTTCCAGTACCTTTATTCATATATAGGTTGTAAAAGAAGTTCCAGATCTAGAAAGGAGACTATAGAAATTAATAGTCAAGTTGAAAAAAAAATCAGAGAAGAAAAATTCAATAATGGTGATATAGAAATGAAGATTTCTCTCCTATGCTTTTTTTTTTTAATTGTGGTACTACAGGTTTGAACTCTGGGCCCTGCACTTGCTAGTCAGTTGTTCTACTGCTAGTCATACCTATAACCCAGAAATGAAAGTATTGAAGAAGTGCATCAAACTAACACTTTTAAAAGATTTGCCTAAAGTGCTCTGAGGCCAAAATGAAGGCCAGTGTCCTGTGACGTTTCCTCTTCTTTTCAGAAACAAAGAAATAATCCTCAGTTTCCCAATTTCAATTGATACTTAGGTACAGATGAAAATCTATATACTAAAGGAACAAAAGTAAATAATGACAAAATTTACATGGGCAGGTTATTTGATAAGTGAATGAACAAATTAGTTGAAACTTAACTGAAATTGTTTCCCCCTTCAGTCTCTGTGGTGGGAACGACGGGCTTTTCCACTGAAAGATGAGGACACAGCAGCCTTGCTTTGCCAGGATGAAAGCAAGGATGAGACTCAGAGGGCCAGCACAGCTTTTCATGGTGAAGTCTTCGGTACCACTGCACCAGAGAATGGCCTCCATACAAAAAAGCAGTTAGATGGAATAGAAGAGTATAAAACTTACGGTCTGGGACTCACTAATGTTAAAAAAAACAGGTGACAGGGAACACACTGGGAAAACTGTAGTTGAATGGAAGCGAGGAGGAAAAATAGCCCTGTTGTGGATCTTCCACTCCCTCTGGTCACAGTTCCAGATTACAAATGTACTGCATGTACTCTTCTTTCATGCTGTTTATAAGAGGCAAGAAAAGTGTTTTCTTCCTTCTTGAACCACAGAAGTAGCTAGCTTTTCAGCTCTAGACAAGTGCTAGCCATTTGTATTTCTTATATAAGGTGTCAAGTGCTGCAATTTGGTGCCAAGTCACATTATTAAGTTTTAAGACGATGCCTTCCCACCACCTGACACACTTGCTGTGCATCAAATGACAGCTATCTTCTCTTCTGTTCACATGGTAATTCACCAAAATTGCCTCAGAAATATATTAAATATACAAATATGTGTGTATAGAATATGTACACATATACACACGTATACACACATGCACACATAGTTTTAAAATTACATTAGAAACATCCCATTCCACTTAAAATGCATGTATGAACTATTCTATGCAATATATGCTGCAATAACTATAAAGCACAGGTTTCCACTGTTAATATATAAGTCTTGGCTATGAAGAGAGGGAGGGTATTTGTTCTTGTTTTTGTTGCTTAACCATAGAAGTTATTTATGGAAATTCTTACATAAGGTAACATGATACTCATTTATTTGAAATCACTGGTATCGCTTGGACTAACCACAGGTTACTTTCTATTTTACTCCTCCCAGAACTCAAGACAATCAAATTAAGAGTTACTGTGGATGCATTTTAGCTATGTCATCTTTGAAAATTCAATTTGAATTTTACATACTTAGTGAAGAAAAAAACACCAATTTAAACTGTGTAACGAACAGAAACGTTTTAGTGTTATAAAATTTTGTAAATGGTTATATTTCTAGCTAATATCTAGCTAGTATGGAAACCTTACTATATTTCTAGCTAATTTGGTCTTTCTTTGTAGTAGCTTACTCTACTCATATAAACATCTATTCTTACATCCTAGATTTGAGAATTGAACATTTTCAAAGGTCAAGACTTCAATATTAGATACTGAGGAGTGTGCATGGTGGAAAATTTCTTTTAAAGCTATTATATTATTTTTTCTTCTATGTGAAAGTTAAGGACAATTTGTATAAATCACTTTTTGTCATGTAAAAAGTAATTTAAGTTATAGTACCCATTACTGAAAACTCTAGCTATTTGGCCTAGAGTCTGTGGAGTCTGACATCCAAATATTTGTTCAGGATTGGAAATTATATTGGTCCCTGCAAAGGGGAAAACACTCAGATTCAACAGTTACAAACTTTTGCTTGTAGTTTTACTGTACATTTATTTTTAAAGAAAAAGAAAAGAAAAGCCAGACAAACTCAAGTTTTCCTGGCAAATAAATTCAAATCTTTGTCATGTCTGATATTATAATCTTCTATGTATGTTTTTTAATTAAAGTTATTTCTATATGCCTCGTGTTGTGTGATTTGATTAGATACTACCAATTCATGCACAAACCCTTTCTTAATACAAGCAAAAACAGATATTAAGGAAAATTTTTTACCTTGTAGAGTAAGAAGAAATCTAAGTTCTATTTCATTATAACTTTTAGCATTATTATTTTTTAACCTCAGTTCTCAAAATTCATAGTAGTTTGATGAAATGTAGTGATATTGACCCTGAAATTGATACAAGAAATTTAATGATATCAATCCCAACATTTATTGCAATATTTATTATACGGCAAGAGTATTCAGAAAATTGAAGTAGCTAATACGTAATAGTCTTTGCATAACTGGGAACAGTAATAAATAATTCATGAATTAACTATCTCTTGACATTCTTCGCCTACCTGGTCTTTCTTGGAATAAAATATGTATCCCTGGGGGTCAAGATCCAAGTTGCAGAATACTCTTGGCCATCTGCTTCCACTAAGGGTAATGTTAGACTGAAAATAAGACAATATTAAGTAAAAGAAGTTTCTTGCTTTCTAAGCTACCTGTTCAGGGTTTTTTTGTGTGTTTTGTTTTGTTTTTCAAATAGATACCTAAAATTGAATACCTTACTGTATGAAACCTTAGCTTTACTTTCTTTGTATTTTAAATGCAATAAAAATATGTCTTACTACTTATAGGAATAATTTAGAGGTTTACTAAGGTGCTTTATAGCACATAAAACATAAAATTACCTAATGCCAGCCACTTTCTACTCTCAATTCTGGGAACAGTATTGGAAACTTCCCACATACATGGCAACTTATGTGGGAATCCTCAGCACAAGTCTGTATATTACTGAAGTTCTAGTAACATATAAATGTTTAAGTGTAAAAATGGTGGGTGATTTGGTATGACCAAACAGCTACATATGGGCAGAGTCAATATAAATTCCATACAGAGGCTTTCTTTCCTTTCTATTTCCCATCTTTAAGAACGTGGTAAGAGAAAATCAGGGACAGGGAGGAATCACTATACTACCTGCTCTAACTAAGAAGACTCCTCACTTTGGTAACATTTGTGCATGTACTTTAGAACCTTAGGGCTTCTTACATTGGTTTCGCAGTTTTTAATGAATCAATTGTAAGACTAGAAGTGGAAAAATAAACATCTCAGTTGCAAGCCTATGCATGTCCTCCCATCCAAAGATGTATTTTAGTTCTCCTTAGCAAGAATATACACAAATCATAACAGAGATTAAACTAAAAAGAAGAAAAAAGAAAAAGGATTTAGACAAGGACTTCCTTTGCTTTTGGAAAATAGTTCAGAAATGACAGAATGAACACTTTCTAAAATTACAGAAATCTTTTGTAGTAGATACTATGCCTTCCTTAGGCATTAAGACACATTTCTACTCGAAATCCCAATTTGGCCATATTTTCACTCTTTACAAAAATCAATTCTTCCAAGAAAAACAGGATTATTTCATTATATTAATTTTAACATTTCATCCCTAAGAATGTATCTATACAGACCAATTTTTAACCAATTTCTAACCTCTTAATGTTCTGCACAATAGATCTGAGTCACTGGAATGAAGAACTGTTAGAAAAGCAGCACTCAAATGCAATGTGATTTGGTAGTCAATACTCCTGTTTTGCAGTCAAAGGGTTCCATGGGCAAACATTGGGTTCCTTGTGGTTTCATCGATCAAGAGAACGTTTCTGAGCAGCTTCTGAACAGACATTTCTTAACAAGTTGATCACAGATCTGGGGTCTTCACTCCTCATAATGGCACTGCCAGACACAATCATGTTAGCACCTGCCTGGAAGAAGTAAACACTCAAGTTATGCCTTAAAGAAGAAGAGCCCCAACACTATTATTGGACTATATAGGTTTACTGTTGCCTCTTCTAGAACTCTGTCCAAAAGCTACTTAAAGATGAGCCAGGTAGTTGCAGGAGACATAAAACTAAAAATTGTGGTTATAAAATTATTTTTAATGTGTCTAACAAGTCAATAAGCATTTAGAGTATTCTAAGATTTAAATATATATTCAGACAGACAGATACACACCCATACACACACCCACCAATGTCCTCAGAGATACTAAAGAAACAATTGCCTACTATCTAAATTATTTTAGATTTAAAGGACAATTATTATGAAAATGTGAAGTTACCCAGAATGTTAGGAACATTAAAGTATTCCTGATTTTGTGTCAGAATAGTTTTGAAGTTTGTCAAGATGCTATTTTAAAGACAGAAGCAAATAAATGAAAATAAATTAACAAACTCAAATAATATAACCTCCAAAAATTAACTGAGTGTCCCAGGATTTGACTTGAGGAGAAAACTCCTGTCTATTATGACTCACTGCTAGGAGGAGGAAAACTATAGCACAGGAACATTTTTTTGACAAGAACCAGTCACTCAATAAATGGTCATTCCTCATAGAAATCTTAAAATAAGCTTGACAGTTACCTCTTAACTCTTCATCTGAGCAGAAACAGCCAAGTGACAAAGAATATTTCAATTAAAGCAATCCTAAAAATGGTTCCAGGATAACAAGGCCACTCCTTTCCCATAAGTATTTATCACTGACAAGCTTTTTTGTTTTGTTTTTGTTTTGATGTTGTTGAAATAGGGTCTGGTTATGGAGTGAAGATTGGCCTCATACTTTTTTGTTGGTTGTGGGGATTGAACTCGGGGCTTCAACATTGTCTCTGAGCTTTTGTGCTCAAGACTAGTGCTCTACCACTTTGAGCCAAAGCCTGACTTTGTTTTCTGGTGGCTGGAGGTAAGAGTCTCAAGGACTTTCTGCCTGGGCTGGCTTTGAACTTTGATCCTCAGATCTCAGCCTCCTGCATAGCTAGGATTACCACCAGCAGCCTGCAGACCTCATACATCCTTGTCCCTACCTCCTGAGTGAATGCCAAAATGTAGAAATGCAGAAAAGTATGGCCATTACAGAATTTCTTCCCCCTCTTTTCAGAAGGCAATCTCACTCAAGTCCTGGGAACTTAATTTTCCAAAGGGGAGGCATTAAACATATTTTTTTGTATAAAGAACTTTTTTCTGTTGGGTGTGGTTTTGCATGCCTGTAATTCCAGCTACTCAAGAGGCAGAGATTGGTAGGAGCCGAGTTTGAAACCAGCAAAGACAAATTTTAATGAGGCCCATCTCAACAAATAAGCTGGTGTGGCTGGGAAGGTGGCTCAGTAGTAGAGCACTTGCCTTGCATGCCTGAGGCACTGGGTTCGATTCCTCAGCATGACATAAACAAAAAGAAAAAAAGCCGGAAGTGGTGCTGTGGCTCAAGTGGTAGAGTGCTAGCCTTGAGCTGAAGAGCTGAGGGACAGCGCCCAGGCCCTGAGTTCAGGCACCACGACCAGACACCCCCCCAAAAAACAAATACAAATACAAAAACAAAAAACAAATAAGTTGGTGTGGTGATGCATACCTGTGATCCAGCTGATGTGGGTAGGAGAATTGCAACCTGAGGCCAGCTCTAAGCTAAAATTCTTACCTATCTTAAACTAACTAAAACAAAAAGGTTTTGGCACATGGCTCAGCAAAAAAGCACCTGCCTAGCAACTGAGAGGACTGAGTTCAAATTCCTATACCACCAAAACAGTAACAACACATATTTATGATTTTCTTCAGTATTAACTGAGATACCAGGATTCATTATTTAACAACTTTTGTTCCTTTAGAAATTTACTCACAGCTCTTTATTTTCCTACCCCTACAGTAAAACAAAAATATTTTCAGATGAAAGTCAGTCAGCTTAGGAAATAATATGAGCAATTGTAATAGCTGAGTTGCTCTGCAGCCCTGTTTGTTTCCGGGATTTGCAAACGTATAGGAAAAGCCCTGCCTTTTGCCCGCCAAATTTGTGTGCCAATTCAAACCAAAATGATAGGTTAGTTTAAACAGCTACTATAAGGCAGACTGTAACTCCATTGGCCACCTGTGTGTCGTCAGGCTTGACTGCATGGATTTTGCCTTTTAAAAACCCTAGCTTGTGGGCAGTTCGGGGTCACAGTTTTAGCTCCCGAGTCTATGCTTGCTGCATCCCTGGCCAGTTAGCTATTCACTTCCCCAGTAAATTTATCTTTTTACATGAGGCTGTCTCTGAGTGGTGGACTCCTTTCCTCGTATCACAATCTCTTTGGCCCACAACCCAGTGTCTTCAGGTTGGGCTGTTGAGAAGCACTCACCTCTGCACATTTATGGACCGTGTCAGGACCCACTCCACCATCAACTTCTATATCCAAAGATGGGAACTGGGTCCTCAACCAGTGGACCTACGTACAACATGAAAAGACGGTGACTCTTTGAGAAGACGTGGGGAAACAACCAAACAAAACTGAATATCGCTCATAAAGGAACTCTATCTCTACAAAACATTATTGGGATTATTTCTTTTTAAAAAATGTCCACACAAAGGTTTTGGGACTCAAAGCCTCACACTTGCTAGGCAGGTGGCTCTGCCCTGCAAGCCACACTTTTAGCTTTTTGATTTTTTTGCTTTTGTTTTTCAGACAGAATCTGGGTTTTTGCCAAGGTTCAGCCCATAGAGGTAGACTTATCTATACCACAGCTACATGCCACCATGGTCTATTTTTTGTTGAGATGATGAGGGTTAGTTGCTCAAGTTAGGCTGGAACTATGAGCCAGGTACTCTTGCATGATTAAGATTTACAGATGTGTGCAACCATGCTCAGCCTCTACCATGCTTTTTAATGTACTGAAAGAGTTTTATTCTGTTTGGCAGAATATCAATTAACATTAATTAACAGTCCTTTTCAAAGATTTTACTTCATGGAAATAAGATAAAGAAAACATCTTAATATTCAATGAAAACTCCCAAGAGAACTAATAGTTCTTTTCAGTTCTGGTAAATTTCACAATAGAGACGTAGTATCAATTCTGATTTTAAAACCAAAACCTGTTACATTTCCTATCATGCTTTATTACAAAGATGAGTAGGCATCCCCATATCTTCACTTCTATAGTAGGACACATCTTAACTGGCAGCCTTTCAATCTACGCTTAATGAGTAAAATCCCACAGAGAAATACTTCTTTTACCTTTGGCATCATATCTTCCATGAATTTCTGCCCTCCAAACCCAGGTTCCACTGTCATAACCAAGGCCATATCTATTTGATTAGCCCATGGTGCCAAGTACTCAACTGTAGTTCCTGGTTTGATGGCAAGGCCAACCTGTAAGACACAAGCATGCTACAGCACATTAACAATTATTTCCTACTATATTGCTGTGGCCTCTCAGGCCCAGCAGAAATACTGACTTATATGTAAACTCTGGCTTCACAGCTGAAGAAGAATGTTTATGTCAGGTTTTCTTTCCCTATCATTTCTTGTTTGCCAACAAACATTCCAAACTCTGAAAGGGAATCATATATATTACTGTTCTCCTACCTTCATCCCATTCTCCCGGATGTCTTTAATCAAAGCCCCTGGGTTCTCAGTAGCTTCGAGGTGAAAGGTATATTGATTGGCTCCTGCTATGGCCATTGGCTTTACCCACTGCTCCGGCCTGGACACCATCATGTGCATGTCTAGAAAGAAAATACACAGCTCCTAATATTATTGGCAAGACAACATCTGGCTCACAAAAGCTGGCTCACTAGCTTTTAGTGTTGCCATTTCAATTATAAATTCTTCTGACATGACAAAAACTGTTTAAGTGGATAGATCTAAGCACAGGTGGACAGACCACGCCCTATCTTCAGAATTCCTTTATTCTCAAGACCGTTTGGTTAGAGTCATTCATGGAAAATAAAAACCAAAACATTTTCACAAAAAATTCCCACAGCTGCATATGATGAGAGATCAGGAAAGCTAAGTCCAGGCCCAGGAAATATCACTCTAAAAAGAAGTCCAATTACCCATGTAGCCTTTGTGATTCTTCCAAGCAAGCTTTACTGAGCACTTACTGTACATTAGCCATTCTAGGCCCAAGGAAAGGAAAGAGAAGAAAAGACTCAGCTGCTGTTTCTCCACTGTCTTGAAGATTATTCTTAGTAGGTGAGAAAAAAAGAATAAACATAGTAAGAAGTTAAGATATAAACTAGATTAGCAGTTGATAAGCCAGAGTGGCTGGGGCAGAGTTAATACTGGCAGGGGCAGATAAGGTTAGAGAACCACGCAGAAGGGAGACAGCAGAGTTTTACAGAAAGCTAGCTTTTACTCCAAGCGAAATGTGTGAAACACCAACTCAATCCTGGATTTTGAGTTAAGTTACAAGGTCTGACCAAGGTGGCTACTATAATAGCAAGCTAGATGAGAAGGATGAGAGCAATAATTAAAAATGTGAATCTACAGGCAATAGGAACTGCTGAAGCCTTAGAGGTAGAGGCAGGAGGAAAGGAATCAAGGTGAGGCCAAAGGTTTGGTCTTAAACAAGGAGAAGAACCGAAGTGGAAGAAAATCCAAGAGGGACAGAGTTAGAGGGAAAAGCAGAGCGATTAGAAGTCTGATATTTACATTAATCCTAACGCTTGGTTAATATACATACATAACAGCATTTCATGAAAAGACAGCTTAAGAAGCTAGACCAAGAAGTAACCCTGACAAGAACCTGTACCAGACAGATGGGAGTGAGCAGTATGTTTTATTAGAAGAAATATATTTCTGACCTGGCTAAACACTCCACAACTTAACCAAGATTATTAAACTCAGTAAAACTTTGTAAGAAAAGTTAGCAAGAGTTTGAAGTCAAGATTAAAGCAAATCTTTCTATACTGGTCAAAGTAATTCCATTAAAGCATATGTTAATAGGCAAAATATTATTTTTAAAAGATTACATTCCATTTGATGTTTCATTTCTCTTTGTATTAAAACAAGGAGAATTCAGTTCACTCGTTAAAAGGTCTAGTTAACTCACTCCTCAACTTACAGCCTATTATTATTCTCACCCACACCAATACAGAGTTAACTACTAGCTGCTCTCCAGAGAGTCCCTACAATTTCAAAGTCACATGTCAACAAATTAAGGTAAGATCAAGAGTTCTCAAACGGAAGCAGACTGTAGCTCAAAGTAGTAGAGTACTAGCTTGAAGTGAAAAAGCTCAGGGACAGTTCCCAGTCCCTGAGTTCAAGCCCCCAAGAACCAACAAAAAAAAAGAAAAAGAAAAAGAAAACCACTTCTCAAACATCTCATTACCAAGCCTTCTGACTTTTCCAAATTGTGAAGCCTCATCAAAGACTTTCATTGATATGGGTTAAATTTATAAATAATGCATTATAATTCAAACTAAGGCATTTCAAATTATAAATTATAAAATAAATTATTAAATCATAACTAAGATTATATGGTAGTTACCCCTCATCCATGATTTCCCTTCCCACACTCATATTTCTGAGGTTTTCTGCAGTCAACTATGGTTAGAAATTAAACCAAAAATTCCAGAAATAAACAATTCATGATTATCCCCAGCATCCTACTTAGTGAATCAGCCCCTTCTGCTGTATCCATAATGTATCTAGTACCTGCCCTACTTAATGGCCATCTGTGATGATCAGATAAACTACCACGGTATCACAGTGCTATGCTCAAGTAACCTTTATTTTATTTAACAATGGCTCCAAAGCACAAGGGTAGATATACTAGTAATTCAGATATGCTGAAGAGAATCCTGCAGTATGTCATTTAAATATCATCTCACATTATATGCGAAGGTCCATAAAGATAATTTAAAAGACTACAGTCACAGAACTTTTATTTTAATATGCTATTATAACTTTAATATTTTCGTTGCTAGTATCTGTGTCTTAAATTTTATCACAAGTATGTATATATATAAGAAGAAACAGTACAGAGAAGTGGTCATTGAGTTACAATGGCTCAATTTACAGTAAAGGAAATGTACTTAGAATTTTGGTCTTTTGCAGGTATTTGGTAGTGTTTCTTTGGTAAGATTTTCAATAAATTAGATGAGATAATCAACACTTTGTTATTATGTTAAGATGACTCTTCCCATCTATGGGCTACTGTAGGTGTTCTGAGCACGTTTAAGGTAAGGAGTATTAACTTAAGCTATTATTTTCAACCTGTAATCCATTTACTGGGACAGAACCCCATTAAAATGTGAGGAGTATCTATACTAAGAGGCTGTCAAACTTAGAACAGTAAGATGCAATCTAATGTTCTAATTTTCCCTTGTAAGTTCTGTTATTAGTGGCAACAAACTGATGGGATTTTCCTTGAAGTGACTTCATTGTTGGTTTTAAAGAAAAAAATGACAATGAAACAGCCAAGTCTCCGAATCAGTTCATCTAGTAGTTGTTTCTCCATGGTTTATTAAAAACAACAACAAAAGGGCTACTTCTGATCATAACACAAACTATATATGGTACTTTAGAAGCACTTCCTATTACCACATAAATATTAAGAAACAGTACCACATGCACAAAGACCAGTACTTAGTAGAAACAATAATCTCTATGGCTTCACCAAAGATAATTTGCAAACACATTATAATCTGGCATGTAATAGCTATGATTATACCTCGGTGTCACTGGACTGCTCTGAGGTGACTAACTTACTACTGCTTTTGTACCATTAGTACAAAAACCACAACCACTGTCTTAGTATTATGAAAATGTCTTAAAAGATGACGTAGATAGGTCTTAGGAATTTCCATGGGTCCCAATAGTATACTTGAATAACACTGATTTAGATAATAACAAGAACAAACTTTTTTCCTTCTTTCCATTTTTTCCCCTCAATACGGGGGACTGAACCCAGAGTCTAAGACACTTTTTTTAATCCTTTATTAGATGTTAGATTTATTACTTATTAATGTTATTTCTACTCATTACTAAGACTGACCAGTTGACAACTTTAGAAATTACACATACTACTCGATCTAGTTCCTAAAGTATATCTAGGCAATTGTCCAATAACCTGGAGCAAAGAATTAAAATGCAAAAAAATGTGTCTTAATATAAGAACAACTGTCTGTAATAACCCAAACATAAAAGTCCATGGAACATATATCTTTATTTTAGACCAAATTCTAAAGGGATTAATTAGCAAGTTGATTAGCAAATAAAGTAAAACCAGGAAGCAACTGTGGTGGTAGAAGGAAAATTAGAAAGAAGATATTGGCAGGAGACAGACAACATAGGTAAGTAATACCAGGAACCCAAGTAAAAGGGAGAGAGAAAAAATGACTCTGGCTACTACACACTGGGAGCAAACAGTGACAATCCATTTCATCATCTCTCACAACAGTATTGACAACAACTGTGATTCACAAGAAAAGCTTACAGAATCAGGAATACACTAATTAAAGAAGAAAAATATATTGGAAAATACATTTTTCAAATATTAGCCAAATTTTGTTTTAGAAAACCAGAGGATTATATAGTTCACTGACAATGGAAATTTCAAGAAGATGAATATGTTGGTGGAATGTTCTTTGCTCTGCCCCAGGAATGACAAAATAATGCACATTTTCTTGGGCTCAAAATGTGCACACTCCAGCAGCTCCATCCAGCATAACTTCCTGCAATAATGGATATGATCCATAGCTGTACTGGTCAAGACAGTAATCACTAGCCACCTGTTGCTGAAAACTTGCATGTGGTCAATGTGATTTAAAAAAACCTTCAGCTCATAAGCATATTTAATTTTAACTTAAATAGCTACATACGGTTTGTAGATACTATACTGGACAGAATATAGAGAATATTTCTACAATATGGTGACAAGTTAAAATTTTTATTTCTATGTTACATAAAAACAGCACTTATAAAAAGCTATAATTTCTCATGTACTAGATATCTGGCAAGTAAAGAATTGATGGCTGAGCCTAAGATGATGGCTGTAAAAAACATATGGACTAAATCTGTGTTATAGCTGCAATAAGTTCCAGGTTACTGTGTGATCTCAAAAACCTTAATTTAAGCCAGATGCAGTAGCATGGAATCTCAGCTATTCAAGAAGTGGAGACTAGGAGAATTGTGATTCAGGGTAACCATAGTCAAAGAATGAGAGCCTATCTCAACAACCTAGCATGTGGTGATTAGAGTTGTCATCGCTGTATTTGGATCAAGGATCCCAAAACACAAAGATCAAGGTGCTTTTTGTACCTAAAAACAGGGCAATACAACAAAGCAAACAAATAATTGTTTAGACTCTATCTACATAATATCTATATCAAAAAAGTATGGGAGCATGGTTCATGTAGTAGAACATTTGCCTATCAAATGTTAGGCCCTAGTTCACACTCCAATATTACCCAAAACAGAAATATTTTATGACCTCCAAATCGAGCATGTATCAGCATAATCTGTAGAAAGCTCCAACCTGCAAGAAATAAATGGCATCTAGACTAACCAGGCAACTGATTTCAAAACAGAATTAATAAGGACAGAGTGCTACAATCAAGTGTGAAAGCTTTAGGAATACCACAGTAAATAGATAATTGAATAACCTTAGACTAAAGGAAAGTCTAAGAAAATCAAGGTAATCAATCACTGGGTAAAGGCTAATTTAGAGTAAGTGTTCAAACTCTCTGAGAGGAAATGTCAAATGACCTCAGACCCAAAAATCACTCATTAGCCAGAAGAACAGCTTTCTAGGCAAAGATATTAGCACAAATACCAAGGTCCTGATGTAGGAGAGATTGGCTAGTTACTAAAATCTGGTCACTGAAGACCCAGCACAAGGAACAATCTTGGAGGGAAAATAGCAAAGGTGTAAGATGAACTTGGTTTAAGAAGTAAACCATCCGTGTTTCCTTTATTTGAACAACATATCCAGCTTCAAATGGTATAACAACCACTTACCAAAGAAAGGGTCCTGGCCTAGCTGCTTTCGGAGGCTTTCTACCACAGGGTGACCAAAGGTGATGTTGGGAACAAAATGCCTACAAGACAAACAAAATCTTACTCTGAAATGTTTTCAGCTTAGTTTCTGTATTTCTCTCAATGTCAGTTCTGATAAAGGTAGAGGAGACTAGCTGCGATCCCAATGTTTATTCAACTGAACACTTAACATCATAAATACTTGAAAAATTAAAACCAAATATAACTGGAAATTTCAGCTTTACAAAACAGCTTTATAATGTAAATGTACTGAACAAATGCATAATATCACATCTTCATAATAGTCTGTAATTCATCAAGTTATGAATTATAGGCAATCAATGGAAAGATGACAACCCCCCAAATTTATGACTTGCCCAAGTCACACACTAGTTAGTAAAATTTAGGACATTAACATAGATATCCCCAATCCTTGCCTCTCCCAGGGACTTGTGGCTACTCCTAATCCATTTCATTTGCAGGTGTGAAGTGACAACTGAATTATTTTTTAGGATAACCAGTAATGAATGTGCTTAATAATAACCACTGCTTTCTGAAAGCTTATTACATGCCAGGTAATGAACCATACCTACTTGTAGAATGTAAGATCACTGACATCCTTGAGTCATCCACTTAGTAGTCTGTGGTGATAGGATTCATATTATGTCTGCTGCACTGGAGCCAAACTATTTAACCTTGAACCTACCCCAGTTAATCTTTCTGTTGTAGCACTAGTTCACTTAAATATGTAAGAAAAACTTCTTATATGTGAGTGGCATAATGTGTACATCAGGTACTATGTTTATAAAGAAATATACTACTACCGGCCCCACTTATCCTAAAGGAGTTCACAATCTCATTTATCAAAATGATAGAGATGGCAAATGACACCACAATTCCCAACCTCACTGCTATACTACTTGTCAGTGGGAAGCTCACACAAGGAAATTTCCCAGCCCCCTTTACATTCAACGCAGCCAACATCATTACTTTTCATTATGGATCCTGTTGAGTGATATGTGTCATACAGAGTCCAGAAGGTAAAGTGTGTTGACTGAATATTCCCAATCTAACATCCAAAATGGAAATTATTTGAGCATCAATATGAGCCATGTAGTCTACTTGTCACATGACAGGCTGCAGTGAAAATGCAGGAGCACTAACAATACTGTATAACTACCTTTGGGAGAGGTGTAAGGCATACGTGAAGCATGAACAACCCTTACATTGAGACATAGGTTTTATCCCCCAACGTCTCCTTCTCTATCTGTAAGCATAACCAAATTTGAAAATATGCAAAGTTTGTAACACTTTTGTTCCCAAGCATTTTGGAGGAGAGATGCTCAACCTATACTCCTTTCCTGTTCTCACTTTACCTACAGCCAGTAAATCCTCTCAGGAATGAGTGTCAACAGGAAAAGAAAAGAGCTCTGAGCTACTGCATGGAAGGAGAGTTTTCTGGAACTGTTAAAATAACTAAGAAATAAACTACAATGTTATGTTGTTTGAATCTGGGCTTTGAAAAAAGGTATAAACAATAACAAGAAGACAATATGAGAGATAAAACAGGATTATAGATAAAACAGATACAAATAAGCAAATATTCTGTAAGTTAACCTTCCATAATGTTAAAAGGAAGATCACCAGACTAAGACAACAGACTTTGTGGGAAAAGAAATGAAGCAAAGATTAAAAAAATGAAGTGAAGGCAGAAACAAGCAAGTTTAGTTCAAAGAAGAAGGAATGGTATTGATCAGTGTGGCTATAGGAAAAATTCTTTAAAGTAGACTATATCAAATTGAGCATCAAATTCCAAACAAAGTTGTTTCCATTGTAAACATGAAGACTTTAGAGTAAGATATAAATAATAATATACAAATAATAAAGCAGGAAGTTAGACTGAACAATAATCACATGAAGAAAGGTAAGAGCTAATGCTAAGTGGCCAGGAACAGAAAGAATAGCAAGACAATAAAACTGATAAGATATACCAACTGATTATTGATATGATGGTTAGTGAAAGAGAGAGAATACTTAAGTTGATAGGCTGAATGTTCATAAAAACTAAAATGCATATATAGTTCAGATACAAGTTCTAAGCAGTTCCTATACCTTAAAATTTTAAAATTTCACAGCAATCTTACAACATTGGTACCATATCTGTATTTTACACATGAGTAAAAGGATGGATGTCACACAACCACTGAGTATTGGACATGCAAGTAAACACAGGCAATGTGGGGCTTAATTACTATGTTTATTTGCCCCACTACAATTATGTCAATAGTCCAGGGAAGATGACAGGAGCTCAGAATTAAGGATACAGCTGAGATGGATGAAGTATATCCATGTGGACCTTCTCATTAACATGCTAGCTGGTCTTTGGAGGCTAGATATCCAATAGTTGGAAAGTTATTCTACCATCTACTTAAGAGCAATTACTCTCAGAATTATTGACAAGATACTTGTGTTATTTAAACTAGAAATAAGGGTCAAGTAAGCAGGCAGTGCCACCAACTGAATATTGTACAATTATAAAATCAATAGGTTTTGATATATTATGCTGTTACATTTTTCTTGGGAATGCTAAGGATTGAACTCAGGGCCTTGGACATCCAATCTATCATCGGAGCCACATCTTCAGCCCTCATATGCTGTTCTTCTCATTTGCACTGTGGCTTTGGAGGTGATTTTGTTGTCAACTTTATGTTTCATTTATTATGAAAGAAACATTTAAAATGACATGTTCAATTGAAATGCCTTTGTACAACTTCTTAAAGACAATAAAGTAATAGAACAGGAATAACAACGTTCTAAAGAACTGTGAGAATCAAAAAATTAATATTTATTTTATTGAGAAAAACAGGCACAACTTACACAGCTACTGACCCAAAATTATGTGAACAGTTTGTCCGATGGATGATCAATTTGATGTACTGGGTTTATTAAGGAGACTAGAAGAACAAATGTACTTATATTCTTAGAGAAAACTCAAAACTTATTGTAGCTAATCACACACACACACACACACACACACACACACACGAGGATCACACACACACACACACACACACACACACACACACACACACACACACACACACACACACACACACGAGGATACAAACCTAGGCATCAAGTCAGGGTGTCCTGAATTTGCCAGACAACGGTCATTACAGGAACATTTGCTATAAGTGGACTTACAGCCTTTACTTCAAGACTAATGACTCCAAATAGGACTGAGCTTCTAAAATTTTAACCAATGTTTCAGGTAGTTCTATCAGGCCAACCTGGAAAATGCTAACTTATTTCCCTCTAATAGAGATTTCATCATCTTACTCTGTATTGTTTCCCTAGCGATGTTTTTTGGGTTATAGTATGAACAAAATAAAGTGCAATAAAGAAGTATTTCTTTTTCTCAACTTGCTGGAATTAAACTATAACTGCTTGTAATTCAGGAACAAAATTGTTTTATGATGTTCCACCATAAAGCCTAAATTGTACTTAAATATGGTTGTATAAAGTGAAGTAATACTTAAATAAATTTAAATAAATTAAATAAAAAATTAAATCTCCTTCGGACAAGTAGAACCAACAAGGCAAAAATGGAAAGAGGATTAAGGCTGGTATAAAATGTACCAACTATAACCAGAAAACATTCTTTCTGTGACTCACAAATCACCAACTCACTTGCCAATGGGCATTGGCAGGCAGATTGGAGGGGTAGGGGTGATGAATACCCAGCTGGCTAAAGGTGCCTGCCCCACTCAGCTTCAGCTACCATGGCCTTGCCAGAGTGTGGGCTGGTGCTGGAAAATCTCTAAATCCTTTTCAACAGAAATTCTGTATCAATGTTAAAACTTTCAAATTTAAAATACGGTAATTAATTTAGGAAGAACTTGTGCTTGGTTCCTATGCCTAGGAACTCATTCCATTCACTGTGCTGTCATAATGTATTTATTTTGTTTATCAGACTGTTATCCCGGCCCCACCCCACCTCTGGAAAGTCAATTTGTCTTTTATCCACTTATTCCATTATTCCATACCAGAGTTGCCATCCACAGTTCCCCTAACTAGTTTCTGACTTGCTAGATAAATTCAATTTTAACTAGGAGAAAAACCGGGTATTTCTAAATGGGGAAGGAAGAGACTTGAAAACAAAAAGCACATCCAAAGGGTAATGTTAGAAGATTCACAATAAGAACCAAACGAAAGAAACACAGGGGAAGTATCCGGAGACAGGTACACTGTGGCCAGAGAACTTTGAAAAAGGAGTCCACAGCCCACTCTCTTACCCCTGACCTAGGAAACATTGCAGCACATTATTTAGAAATAGTGGTACCAGCTCAGCTAGGTTCTGTCTATCCTGGCAGGATATGGGGCAAGGGGATAAACTCCCTTAAGCTGGTTCCCTCATTGCAAATGAAAAAAATAGCTCTTACTTCAAACACTGTGTGAAGGTTAAAAAAGTATAAAAACTGTGTAAGCAGAAACCACTGTTTCCTAGCAAATGAAGATCAATGAAAAAAAAAATCTTTATCACTTAATACGTTAACGATCTGCCATAGGCAGGGAAGGAGCAAAAGCATTTGCTTCAAGATTCCTATTATGACTTAATCGTTCATTCATTTAACCAATCATAAATAAGCCTGTTAAGGTACTTTACTGCAAGATAGATCCTGTTTCCAGAAAGTATTACAGTATGGGAGGGGAAACATAAATTCAGAAAAATAAGTGCAAAAATCTTAGTTGCTCTTCAAGGACAGAGAGTGTCTTGAATCATTGTATATATGAGCCCAGGACATAAGAACACCATTTAGTCATTGAGCAAATACAAGCTGTGACATTCCTTCTAACTCTGGCTTCACCATTCTTGTGTCTGAGAATGACTGTGAACTGGATTCCTCATTGTCAAAAATGCTGATGGTAACAGTTCCAGTTTCATAGACACAGAAATTAATTCACAAAAAAACACCATAATAAAACAGTCAAGAGTTCCTGTTACCACTGTTGTCATTAATACTCTTGATCAGCAAACACAGACCAACTATTTTTCTTAGCCATTCACTTACCCATACATGACTCATTTAAAGACAGATGGCTTCAGTATCAAACACACATGTATCCTCATTGCCTCTCTCATTCTTTAAAAAGTTTTTGGTATCAGTATTGGAGATGGAACTCGGCCTTGCAGGCTCACTTGACTTCTTCACTCCAGGCTGTCCACTCTACCACCTGAGCCCCACCTTTATTTCCAGCTTTTCTGCTGTTTAATTGGAGGTAAGAGTCTCACAGATTTTTCTGCTTGGGCAGCTCTGAACTTCAATCCTATCTCAATCTTCTGACTAGTTAGGATTATAGGTGTGTGCCACCAGCAGCACCTAGCTGCTTGTTTCATTCTCAGACTAAGTGTTTTCTCAGTCACAAAATGTACTGCCATCTCTAAGGTATATACTCCTATTAAAGTTTAGAACTTTCAAGAAAGCGTTCAAGTAGGTCTCTAGGATTATATATGATAGCAAACAAACTAAATATCAAGCTTTTAAAAGATAGCATTTACTATCTTTCTTACACATTTCGTCTATGAGTCTTGGTATCGGAGGGTCAGAACTTTGGGTAGATTCCTAAGAGTGGAATGCAAAAAGAGAAAAGTTTAACCAAATAGAACAAAGGAAGGCAAAATTCTTAAAGAAGTGACAAAAAAAATACAGGCTGTTTTTTTTTTTTTTTGTAAATTACACCAATTTGCAAATATGAATGAGGGCGATTTTTGCCTATTCGAAATAAATTCACATTTTCTACCTCGACCCAAAGTAATGGCTTTTATGTTTCCAGGCACAAGTAACAGTGGGGTTCAGAGATACTTGGCAAAGCCAAACCTAAGTTTGTAAATCTGTCACAATCTTTTGTAATCTTTTAAGAGTCTTAACTGGTTTCTCTAGGTGGGTTTCCAACTGAAGAAACTTGCACCCTGATTCCAAACAATATTATGTGCTATAACTACAGTGCTTAAAAATTACTTACAAAAAACTGACCTCCCTGAAGAGCAGGGTGCCTGAAGAGAAAATAGATAGGAAAATCAGAATCGGAGTAATGATCAAAAACAAAACAACAAAAAAAAAAAAATCACAGAAAATTCACTCTAAGCCAGGCCACTGTCAATTTTACTTGCACTCGCTCATTTCATCTTCCAAAGATGCCTAAGCAAGAGGCTGCATCTGCATTCCCATCTTTCAAGTAATGAAACCGAAGCTCAACGAGGTTGAGTGGCTTGTCCAAGACACTCTCCGGCCAGGGGCAGCACTAGGCTCTCTCACTCCAAGCTCTTCTATTCGTTACGCAAAGTCTGTTCTCCCCAGCTTTGCCACTAACTAGCTAGATGAGCTTGGGCAAGTCATGCCTATCTCCCTGGTCCTCAGCTTCTCTACAGGCACCTGCCAAGGGATGTCCCACTGAGGTTGAAGGTCGCTTCCGGGTCCTCGCACCACACGTTGGGGGGGGAGGGGAGGAGCTCCGGATGCTAAGTCAGGTCAGCTCCAGCCCGAGCCTTCCCGGCTCCCACTTCAGTTCCCTTCTCAAGATCGCGAGCAAAAACCAGAGGCGCCCCGAAGTACCGGGGCGGCTGTGCATCCAACAGGCGCTCAATAAAGGCGCGCCGTCCCGACGCCGCGCGGCCAGCCCGCCCCGAGCCCGGAGGAGTTACCCGTCCATTACATCCAGGTGCAGATAATCGGCCCCAGAGTCTAGCATCCGGAGGCACTCGGCCCCCAAATTGGCCAGGTCGCTGTTGAGAATGGACGGGCCGATCTTGCAACCCGACGCCATGGTGTTGGTTTCCTAGACCGAGTTACCTCACGCGTCCGCGGCAGGCAGAGGCGTAGCCACAGCTCCGATTGGGCGCGCAGCTCGGGCCCCGCCCCTCCTCCGGACACTCTTCCGGATTCTGACGGAAGTATCCTGCCCGGGAGGGAAGGAAGTCCCGCCTCTCCGGGGGCGGGGCCTGAGGAGGAGCTTTTGCTTCCGGTTCTCAGCCTTCACACTTCTTGTCTGCTTGAGCTGCTTTTCGTGCAATTTCCCTCTGCGGTTCCCCGCCCTCGGTTTTTCACGTCACGTCTTGTTTCACTACCGTCAGTTTAGACGTGCCTTGCTTCTCCAGCACCCGTGTTTGCCCTTTAACAGTCTTCCCACTACTGTTTCTCCTAGAGCCATCAAGTCCCTCCTTCCCGCTTCGCCGTCCTCATCTGATGAGACCAGACCCAGCGTTTGAGTTTGTTGTGAGGAGTGAAAGACCGCGTTCAGGTAACGCGCCCAGCCCAGGGTCTGGTCCAGCTCAGTGTGAGGTGCTGGTTGGCGGTGCACCCGGTGTTCCTGTCCAGCTCAGTGTGAGGTGCTGGTTGGCGGTGCACCCGGTGTTCCTGTCCAGCTCAGTGTGAAGTGCTGGTTGGCGGTGCACCGGGTGTTCCTGTCCAGCTCAGTGTGAGGTGCTGGTTGGCGGTGCACCCGGTGTTCCTGTCCAGCTCAGTGTGAGGTGCTGGTTGGCGGTGCACCCGGTGTTCCTGTCCAGCTCAGTGTGAGGTGCTGGTTGGCGGTGCACCCGGTGTTCCTGTCCAGCTCAGTGTGAGGTGCCGGTTGGCGGTGCACCCGGTGTTCCTGTCCAGCTCAGTGTGAGGTGCTGGTTGGCGGTGCACCGGGTGTTCCTGTCCAGCTCAGTGTGAGGTGCTGGTTGGCGGTGCACCCGGTGTTCCTGTCCAGCTCAGTGTGAGGTGCTGGTTGGCGGTGCACCCGGTGTTCCTGTCCAGCTCAGTGTGAGGTGCTGGTTGGCGGTGCACCCGGTGTTCCTGTCCAGCTCAGTGTGAGGTGCTGGTTGGCGGTGCACCCGGTGTTCCTGTCCAGCTCAGTGTGAGGTGCTGGTTGGCGGTGCACCCCGTGTTCCTGTCCAGCTCAGTGTGAAGTGCTGGTTGGTGGTGCACCGGGTGTTCCTGTCCAGCTCAGTGTGAGGTGCTGGTTGGCGGTGCACCGGGTGTTCCTGTCCAGCTCAGTGTGAGGTGCTGGTTGGCGGTGCACCCCGTGTTCCTGTCCAGCTCAGTGTGAAGTGCTGGTTGGTGGTGCACCGGGTGTTCCTGTCCAGCTCAGTGTGAAGTGCTGGTTGGTGGTGCACCCGGTGTTCCTGTCCAGCTCAGTGTGAAGTGCTGGTTGGTGGTGCACCCGGTGTTCCTGCTTCTGCACCTCGTTCTTCTCACCTGCTTTTAACTTTTGTTTTACCCCCTCATGCCAGTGCTCATTGACAAGTTCAATAGATTTGTTTTTACTGTGCAGACATGATGCAGACGTGGACATTGCCTGACTGCCAAATGTGTCTGGAGTTGGGAAAAGAGAAAAACCATATGATAGAAAACAAAAAGTGGATTTAGCAGGAGCAGTTTCTAGGGGATAAGGATAGGGCACTCCATAGACTATTAAAGTGGTAATTATACTGGGCGCCAGTGGCTCACGCCTGTAATCCTAGCTACTCAGGAGGCTGAGATCTGAGGGTCATGGTTCAAGGCCAGCCTGAGCAGGAAACTCCACGAGACTCTTATCTACAATTAACCACTCCGAAAACCGGGAGTGGCGCAGTGGCTCAAGCGGTAGAGCGGTGGCCTTGAGGTGAAGAGCTTAGGGACAGTGTTCAGGCCCAGAGTTCAAGCCCCAGGACCGACAAAAAAAAGTGGTAACTGGTGACAAGTACCCTGAAGGGTTCCCTGTCTTCCTTTAAACCCATTCTGCTTTATTTTGAAACGTTTGGGATGGAAAAGACAAATGAAATAGAGCTCAGAGGAAGAGAGATTAGAATAGAGATTAGATTAAGGGGAACAGTCTAGACGTGTTTACCTCAGGACAGACTTGGGGCGGGGAGAGGAACAGTGGGACATTAACAAAGGCATACTGTAGGTTCCCCAAATCAGCCTTTTGCTGCATTAATCAACCCATTTCCTAGGAGAGAAATGAAACTTACTCAAACATATTAAATGGTTTTATGTTTCTTTTATTATATGTGCATATTCAAACACAGAAGTCTTAATATCTTTCATAAACATTTCAATATTTATTCATATGCATTTTTCCATGCTCTTTGGTCATTCGGTATTCATAACAGACATAGTCATCTGAGGGAAGTTGGCTGTGTAGTCAATCCTTTTTGTTTTGCCTATAAAATGGCTAATAAAGGACATTCCATCCTATGGTCACAGTGACTTTAGAAATGTTATGGAGGTACATAGATCTGTATTACTAAATGATCCTAATATAATATAAATTTGTCTTAAGCCTTTCCAAATACATTCTGCCCTCAACTATTTTATTCTCCTGAGTGTCATAGTTTCCTTCTGAAATGCTGCAGTTGAGACCCACTAATATAAATGAGGAAGTGGGACATTTTACTCACTGCTAAACCACAAGGCTAAGGAATTGGAAGTGTGAGGACTCCTGGTGATAGCAGCAAATTCTGGAGACTGTGCTCTTTAAAGTGGTCTATGTAAATTGAGGAAGGATATTTAATTGTTTTGGACAGTAATTCTATTTCACTTATAACCCTTTCTTCCTGTAGGTCTTTTTCTACATAAGTTATATTGTCTCAGAAGCTCTAGGAGCTGGGCAGCAGAGAGGAGAAAGTTCTTCATTGATTAAAGGAACAGGTGTTGAAGAAGAGATGTCTTCCTGTCTTAGAGGCTTAAGTAAACTCTCTAAGCCTACAAAACAGATCCTAACTACATCACTAATCCCACAGATTTTCCTCCAAGCATTGCCATGTGCCCATTCAGGCCTTTGACTTTATAGTGCGTATTGCATTGCCTCAAGGCACTCATAACTCATGTTCCTTTTTAGAAGAATCAGTTATCTAGTAGAATTACAGACAGTGGAAAATACTGAAAAAAATTAAAGTAAAATTTTGTATCAAGGATTTGAATTGACTTAATTGAATCTGAGTCATATGTAAATCTGGATCCAGTCTTGTGGATGATAAGTATTTATTCTATAGACGCTGTAAAGTTAATTTTAGAAGAAGTAATCTCATTGTTGATTCAGTTTTTTTTTAATATCTGGGAAGTGGGTGCCTGCTTTAATATTTCCCTGAATGAGATAAATATCAGTAGCATTATAGCCAAAAAATGAACTATTACTGCTACTAGTGTATTTATCATCGGTAATTTAGTCATGTACTCAATATTTTGAACATTATGAAAGATTGTCAGTTATGTTGAACTTTCTCCTTATTTTCCCCAACAGTTGTTATTGTTTTAAAGTAGCTATTCTTTCAAACTCCAGGCAACAGGATTCCTGAGAGTATATCTTGTAACGGTCTTATGCACATACATATAGATACTTCAGCCATTACACAAAAACATTTGACACATTACATTCAACACAGTTAAGGACACCTCAAATGGGACGGATGCAAAATCTCAGAGGTCCCATTTTGAAAACATTCCCACTCTATAAGGCCTTGTTTTTTAAGTGGGAGTTATTTGTTTGTTTTTTGCAAGATACAACATTACTTAGCTTATTGAAAAACTTTCTAACAGACTTTCATATACTAGAGTGAAGGAGTCAGGCTAAAAGACAGACAGACCGGTAAAATCATGTCCAAAACAGCCCAGTACATTTAATATATAGATATATAAGGGTTTTTAGGATTTTCATTGAGTATTTAACAATCTTCTTTGACCCATTTACTATTAAAATATTTGATAACAATTATACATAGAATTTGAATCAAGATTCAAGAAACTGACACAAAGCACATACATAGAATAACTCACATAACCCAGACACTTGCAATTACCAAACGTAAGGCCTCTAATGCTAGTTGAGCAGCATAGTTTTTAACAGGCAAAATATATCAGCATAGCATCAAAAAGACACATGTCTACTTCTGTACTTAGGAATGGACTCAGCATTAAATATAAATGCTATGAAAATGTTATAAAACATAAAAGAGCCCATTTCCTTTCTTGATTTTCTAAATTTGAGGATTTAAAATTTTTAAATCTAGTTATTAACTCACAGATATCTTTAATTCTCTTAATGAATAGGACAACAACCCAAGATTATATTTGAACTTGTAAGTCACCATTACAAACAGTATCTACTTCCTAAGCAATTCTAACAGAAAAGTAATTATCTTTTATGATTAGGATGGGTTCAGCAGATCTCTTTATATACATATACGTATCACAGCTAACATAGTCAAAGTTTAAGTACATAGAATGAATTTTCAATTTATCTTAATGTAATCAAAGCCTATGTTTGACTTCTACTTGAGGACTAGAAAACACACACACACACACATATACACTCATACCCAATTTAGGTATATATATGAGTTTTTTAATGCTTAGTAGCTACATAACAGTTTCCTAATGTAAACTGTTAAAGGTTTGAAATCACTTTGAATTGCATGATTCTCAGCCCTTCAATAATCCATTAAGTATTGGCCTCACATCCCTTCTGAATTTTAAACTTTCCTTGAAGTAACTGGACTTCAAGTTAAAGCCCTATTTGTAAAATATACAAGCTGACTTTATCGATGAAGAAATTGCTTATTCTTTACATTTTCCTCTGAACTGAAATGTCCCAAGGATCATAAGAATATATTTACTACTGAGAAAACATTATTTTACTGATCTAATTCTGAAACAGTAACCTTATTATTTGAAATATGCCCTTCAGGGCAGGCACAGAATATTATAAGAGGAAATAATCCTAATATTGGCATTGCTGTAGTTAGGGCTAGAAATAGGAATACCATCTCTTTTAAGGTATTGTATTTACATTTAGGGTTTATAGTTGTTTAGGTACTTCTTAATTCACAATTGTCTGATGATTTCTAGAATATTTTTCACTAATGGTGTTATAATGAAATGGAATGACTTTATGGTATCAGCACTTTGATTTATGACATGTAGTAATGATGATAGTTGGGAAATAAATTTTTAAAAAATTAAGCTCTAAAAATAGTGGGTTTTTTTTTTTAACTTAGCTATATTGTTGAACAAAACAAAAATAGCTGTAGGCTTATTGTTAATCTCCCCAATTGATTCTTTCTTTATTATTTTTATGTAAATCTCCACTTATATAGATATGGAATTTAATATTTTTGAAATTATAAAAATAAATATCTATGAGATGCATAATATAAATAACCTCAAAAATTGCATTTTCTTTCTAGAACCTACTTTTTGTTAATACTCTATGAAAGCACTGTCGTAGTATATATTTGTAACTTTTCAAGGCTTCCTAAATCATAAACAATGAAATGG